TCCAACACTTAGGGTTCGAGCCTATCAATGATCTTCTTGAAGTGGATCACTTGATTATAAGCAGCAATCAATTCTTCATCCTTTGCATAAGCAGTGAAACGAAGCTCAGAAATGGCACACTCAAGATCTTGAATTTGAGGTATATAACATCCAATCTCATTCTCTGCATTTTCATACTTAACTTGGATAACGTTAAGCCTAGCCTTCAAGTCAATAATCATTTGGTGAACGGTCTCAAGCTGTAAAGAAGTAGGGGCAGAGATATTAGACCCCTTCAAAACAACGAGCTCAGACTCCAATCTCTTGATCTTCTCGGTAGAGGAATAAACTTCAGCTGCCATAGTCTTGGCCACCTCATTGGCATCACTGGTATCCTTTTGGTCAATGAGCATTGACTTGGCTACCAAAATCTCCATTTTTTGCATCATAGCAAGCAGAGCAGCCCTTCTATATTTGGTTGTATGCTTCGTAAAAAAACTTAGGCAAACAACCCTTCTAACGCCATCAACAAGGTGACACACGTGTCCATGTCTCAAGTAGATCTGGTTTCAAGAATGCATAAATCTCAACAGCCTTCCCAAAAACAAGCTTGGTGGATCTCTCACAACATCCATTCTAACAGTCTCATCTTTCTTAGCAAGCGAATCAGTCTCAGCAGCAAAAAGAATGGGCTTTGGCATCATTTTAGTAGCAGAGTCCACCTTATTGCTCTTCATAGTAGCAAGTTTCTCCAAAGGTGAACCAAACTTAGCTCATAACAGACGTTTTGGCACGACAAAAGCTTATTAGCATGGCAGGCGTCATTGGTTCAGATCTAGCAACCCCATCTTTCTCCTCCTTGGAAAAGGTCAAGTTAATCACAAACTTATCGGCAGCAGGCAGACATTCACGAGTAGCGGAGGAAGCCTTCGACTTTTTTTCAGCTGGCATCTCTTGAGCAGGCAAGGAAGATCTTTTCTTCCCACCTTCATTCATGGCAAGCTTAACGATAGCGATCGGACGAGCCAATGCCCTCACCTTGATTCGCTTTATCTCATCTCTCGGAAGCAGCCTACCTTTTTCTCAACGACGAAGTGGACTAAGTAGCCAATGTCATTCACTGTACTCAGCGGGGATACCTAAAGCAACATGTACCTTATTCATATATGGAGAAGTCTTGGGAATTGAGCTGAATTCCGAATCTACATAAGCAAAGGATGACATCAACGAATTAGAAAGTAGCTCAGCAAAAGCACAAAGCAGCCTAGAGACTAAGCAGTCTACTTAATAGTGATGAAAATCGTCAGAACGTGCAGCTTAGGGGAGAATCAGACTCCCATTCTCCACTTATCTTCAAAGTCTCCTTGGCCCAATTGTGATCTCCATTGCTCGAATGATCGAATAACATATGGTGGGATCGCAGCAACCCAACTCCTTCAATGTGGCCTATTTTAAAGAAGTACCAAAATTCATTAACGGTCAAATCCAAGTCAAAGAATTGGCTTAGATTGAGGAATCTCACCATCACATGGATTGCGTTTGGAGAGCATTAAGCAATGGCACACTTCATGGAACAAAGCACTTCTTGGAAGAAACGTGGTATGGGAAAAGTAAATCCCAACACGAAGTAGTAGGGGTGAAACTTGATGGCTTTTTTAGGCCCACTACATGGCTCATGGCTACTACCCTCCTTGACATGCTTCACACATACCCCAGACGGAATTGCATGCCTATATGCCTCAAGGAAATCTCTGAATGAGTCATCGGAACTAATTTGGAAGTAAAGCAGCCTTGAAGTAGCCCACCTTACTCAAAGACCTACCTTGACGATACAACAATGGTACGCCACCATCACCCTTGTGGGTTGAAGAAGACATGCTCGAGGAAATTCTACAAAGATGTAAGGAAAATCCGTTAGGTGGCAAAAAAAAAAAAAAAAAAAAAGAATGAATCAGCGCATCAGGCTCTATGGCCTAAAGACCAAGTCACGGCCTATACCGCAGGAGCCCAGCAGCAAGACCAAGCCCTACGGCCTGGTCCATTCTCCCTCGACCTAAAGGCTTGGCGGCCAATCCAAACAGAGGGGGTCTGGCGCCCCCGCGCTTCCCTCTCTCTCATCTCACGCGCAAAGGCCCAAGCTTAGCAGCCCAAAATCTAGTGCCTCTCAATCTCGGCCCAAGCCGAGAGGTTGTTGACCCAAGTTGAGCCCCAGCTCGCCTCTGTGGCCCGCGTCGCTGCACCAAGCAGCCCCACCACAGCAGCTATGCCGTGGCTCCCCAACCATTTTTTTGACACATTTTTTACCCCCTGTCGAGCCAAATTTCAAGTCCTGAGGCTCCCAAAAATTAAGACAAGGAAAATTAATTTTTTTTCTTACCATGGTGCAACGTGAAGACGAAGAAAACAACGAAAGACGGTCCTTTGCACGGGCAAGTGTAGAAGATTGGTAAGGAGGGGGAACAAATATCCTCTAGCTTTTTCTCTCTTGTAGGGTATAATAAATTGCTCTTTGAAGTTGATTTAATCATTTACTTAAGGTAGACATAAATAGACTTTAGAAGTAATTTATTTTCCTTTCCTAAAAAGACCTAATTTCCAATTAATGAGGGAATCTACATCAAAATAGGAAACAATATTATGTTTCCTAAAGCAAGGGAAGATCTCTACACCTGCTGTCCTTTCCTACAAGCAGCTTAGTATGTGTGGGGGCATTTGTGGAGCCAAAAATAATCAAGAAAATTATGGAGGTGACACGTAGACTTTTGGGCAAAAATGACAAATTACCCTAAAGGCACACCGGGATTCTCACATGTGACATCCCACATCGTCCAGGGGAGTGATCCTTATATGTATATTCCCATCCCTACCTAGCACGAGGCCTTTTGGGAGCTCACGGGCTTCGGGTTCCGTAGGAACTCCGAAGTTAAGCGAGAAGGGGGCTAGAGCAATCCCATGATGGGTGACCCACTGGGAAGTTGCTCGTGAGTTCCCAAAAACAAAACCGAGAGGGAATGGTAAGCCCAAAGCGGACAATATCGTGCTACGGTAGTGGAGTCGGGCCCGGGAAGTGGTCCTGCCCGGGCCGGGATGTGACATCACACGCATGCAACAGACAATAATAGCCCAATCAAGGAAGAGTCAAATGTGATCAAAATGGTATTTATTCAAATCCCTCTCATCAGTCCTCATCAAATCTCCACTCAAAAGTTAACAATCAATTATCCTATTTAAATTAGGATTGATTACCAAGTTAATTGCAAGATATTATTTTACATAATATCTTGCAATTAAACTCATAATTCTACCAATAATGGTCATCCCTATTCTCCAAATAGGGTCGGCCACACCCCTATAAATAGTCTCGTTCTCCCACTAAAATGCTAATTCATTCTCTCCCAAAAATTCCTAAACGTTTTCTCTTTCAAATTCTAACTTTAGCATCAGAGATTCTTCGACCAAACCCCCCTCCCCCCAAATTCATTGTGGGTGTGTGAGGCTCTTGGCCTTAATCTTAAGTGTTAATATTTTGCAGGTACATTTTTGTCAAATGAGAAGACGGCGGAAATTTGCATCCATAGATCCAATTTAGGTTGATATTCTCTTTGGCTACAATTATCCTTACGTTGTTGATACACAACGAGAAAGATTCCCATAAGTATTTTGGCTCTTCATCACAGACAACTGCCTTTAACTGCTGAAGACCCATGACTCATGGAGGCAGCTCTTGCAACCTTGAGCATTGTCTCATGTTGATCTTCCTTAAACTACTCATTTCACCAATGTCTTTAGGCAGCATCTTGATGCTGAAGCAAACAGATATGTCAAGAAAGTTTACCTTTCAAAGGTTCCTCATCGAGGTTGGAAGCTTTGACAGTTCTGTGCAAGATTTTAGCCTCAACATTTCTAAATTTTCCGACTTTCCAATCCCTTCAGGCAAGGTAGATAGCTTATGACAGTTAGTGACACTGAGCTTCTTTAGTTTACTAAGATCACAAATCTCGGCACGCAACTCATTTAAATCACTGCAATAGTCAATGTTCATTTCTTCTAGATTAGGGAATGCCAATGAGATTGAGATGTAACTGTTGTTGAAAGCTTGCTCCCTCCTTCATCTGTATTGCAAAATTTTGCAGTCCCTCTTTCGGAGTTATACTTTTCCATGTCTTTGATGAGTGGTTGTAGGGAGTCCAGTGTGGATTTGATGTCTCGGAGGAGGTGTGGAACATTTTACTCTACTTCTGCGCTGATTTTACAGCATCAAACAGCATTTCAAATGCCGTTCTGAGAGCACCCATTCCGACTGAAGCCAGAGGCATATTTACCAAAACGAAGAGACTCCAAACTTAATCCTCTTCGTTAATCTAGTTTGATGAGAAAGTGAGAATGTTATGTAAGCCGTTTGTTGGTTTCAGCACACATATATACAACTTAATGAACGAGCAATGAATTTCACCCGAAGAAAAGGAACAAGCTGGGAAATACATTTGACACGCTATTAGGAGGCGAGAAGATACAGAATTTTCTAGCACATAGGATTTGGTATTGCGCTGCTTTTAAAATGTTGTACTGTAGCATAAATATTTTAAAATAAAATAGTAAAAAAATGTTGTGCTCTTGAATAAATAGTTTAAAATACAAGTAATGTTAAAGAGACAAAATTTGCAAACTAAATGATATGTCATCAATAGGAATAAGTACGTTTATCTACGTTTAAGTTATAAACTAATTATCAGCTTTTATATCACTTAGTTTGCAAAATTTTATCTACAAATTTAATATCCTTAGAATTACTATTAAAATAAAACAGTAATGATGTGGCCTATTTAACCGTAAGAGGATGGAGAGGTGCGGCAAAAGAGAGTGTACAAACCATTAGGTTTAATGCATTGCACCAACACTCTTTGATTGGATAAATCAAAAGGTAGTTATTTTTGAACTCTTATTTTCTTTCCATGTACTTATCTTTGCATATTGCACCAACATTCATCGATTGGATAAATCAAAGGAGAATCAATGAAGAGTTGAACAACAAGGAGTGCATACATGTTTTTACAATAATACCCATGGTGAGTACTTACAATAATACTACAGTACCGCCAAGTTATTTAAAATCATATAAAACATAAAATAGAAGCAAATTACAAAGGAAAAATAACATTAAACACAATCACGTTGCATACATTGCACCAATACTCATTGACGGAAGGACCATGGCCTTAGGGTGGAAGCTTGTTGAGCCAATTTAGGTTGATATCTTCTTTGATCACCTTTATGCGTATGTTTGTGAGAAATGGCAAGAAGCGTTCCCATAAAGTTTTCGTCTCCTCGTCGCACATCACTTCGTTCAACTGCTTAAGATCCATAACAGAAGCAGGCAGCTCTTTCAGTCTTGAACACTGGCTTATGTTGATCTTTTCCATGCTGCACATTGCACCAATGTCCTCGGGCAACTCCTTTATGCTAAAGCAATCGGATATGTCGAGAAATTTCAAAACTTTAAGGTTCCTAATCGAGCCTGGCAACTCTAACAAGTCTGCACATGACCTAAGCCTCAACACTTCAAGATTGACTAGCTTTCCGATGTCTGCAGGCAAGACAGATAGCTTATGACAGTTGGTGATGCTAAGCTTCTTAAGGTGAACAAGGTCACAAAGGTTGGCAGGAAGTTGCACCAGATCATGGCAATAATCAATGTTCAATTCCATTAGATTTGGCAGTGCATCTAAAATTTGGACGAAACCTTGGCCGATATCACACATGAAAAAAGATATCTTTTGCAGACTTTTCAACTGTTTGAGGACCTTGCTTATGGAAGGAATTGAAATACGTTCTAATCTAATTCTCTTAAGATTTGATAACGAACCAAGTAGTTCAAAATTATCTAGTTCAGCAGGTAACAAACCATAATTTTTTAGTATTAGAACCTTTAGTTTATCCAGTTTTCTCCACAAACTCAGGTAAGGCATAGTTCTTTGTTTGAAAATTCAGAACTAGAACCTCTGCTTCAGGTGCTTGCATGTTTGGCCATTTTGCTGAGAAGGCTCCATCTGCAAACAGTAAGCTTTAAGATGTTAGCGTGGGTTGAACTTAAATGTGTGGAAGTCCGACTGAAGTCTTAGTATGAATGAGCATGTGTGTGCGTGCGCGCACAAGCATGTCCCGAGCGCACATGTATAAATATTTACTAAAAAGAGATTGATGGAACCTGTTGAGATAGATAATAGTCGAGCCTTGATCGCTTGATATTTTTGTTCTGTCCACCACTTAGGAAGTTTGTCCCCACATATGTTTATAAATAGTCGTTTCCTATGTTCTATTGGGTCTTGACTCGCCTGATGGATCGCCAACTCTCTAAGCATGTCGTGCTGGGTGACAAAGTGTTCAGTGTAATAGCCATCCGCCTCCCTCTCATGCCTGGATGATCAATACTAATTTCTTTTATGTTTTGTTCGGCATACATAATGAAATGGAAAATTATGAGCAGCCTACATACCTTGTATCAACAAGATTTGCTAAACTTCGGGCGGTGAGCTCGTGAAGGTTGGCAATGGTCAAAATTTCCTCATCTAGACCATATAACTCCGCCCACATATCAATGAGGGCGGCAGCAGCAATTCTTTGGTCCTCCGGAAAAGAACCTAGATCGAGGAAACATTCCTTGATGATAGCCTTTTCGTTATCCAAGGCATCTAAGCTGCTTTGGAGGCAAGCAAGTAAATCCTTGTCAGAATCAAGAATAGATGAACCTTTGCACCATTCCACTACTCTTTTCTGCCAGATTTCTATAGGCTGGCCGCGAAGTGATCTCCCAACCAATGCAATGGCAAGTGGGCATCCCTTACAGCGCTTGATAATCTGCAATTTAATTATCCAAAATGAATTCAATTACTATTATTTGATTAAGTTGTTGAAAATCATCTAAATTGTTTCATAAAGATGATAAAATTGTGAACTGTCTACTCTTTCATTCTTCACAGTTCATTAACGTGTGTGGATGCTCAAACGTGATTTCTTTACCCTCTTCTGAGCATAAATAAGCATATATATATGTGTGTGTGTGTGTGTGTGTGTGTATTGTGGACTAAGAAATCACCTTTCTCGAAAGATCGTTGTAAGAAGAGCTCTTATCCTCCAAGGATGCCGAACGGTGAAAAAGAACCATTGCATCTTCATCATTCAATGGTGCCAAATGATAAGAAGAACCGAATCTTGGAAATGCAAATCTTGATGTAACCAAAATCTTGTAATTTGAAAACTTGAATTGATCAAACTTCTCAAGAAGGGACTCTGATCCTGACCAAACATCATCCAGGACAAACAGTAGAGGATTTTGTCTTGATTCCTTCAGAAATTGTTGCAACCAGTTAGCTGCCATGACTTCGTTTTCGAAAGCAGGCAGCTCGGACCCCTTCCGTTGATATAGTTGGTGTACAATAAGGTCCAAGTTGGGCTTTTTCGAGACATTGACAAAAAAGATGTTATTCTTGAATGTATCTATCCAAACAGAAAGTAAGAAAGGTGTTAATAAAAGGTTGACAAGATATGTCTGCAATTCTCATATCAAGTAAGTAATCAAACAGGAGCTCATTACAAGACTTGTTAACTCTAAGAGGAAGGCATCAACTTAACTTACCACTAGTACAAAGAAAATCATGCAAGTTCCTATCTCTACTACTAGGTATTTGTTGGGCATGCTGATATTGGTCTTTCTATTCCTTTCGTGCGCTTTAGTTTCATGTCACCTTCGTTGTAGTTTTATGTTCTTTAACAAATTGTGGTTAGTATGTATGTTTGGAGGGATTAGCGGACAAGGGTAGTTCTACTTGCATAATCCTCTACATGGTGTATTAATTTTTAACTAGGAGTAAAACTTCACCAAAAAAAGTTGAAATCATAAATAGCATACCTTTGACTTGTTGATCCTGACAAAACATTTGAGCCAAGGTGGTTTTCCCACATCCTCCAGCAGCAGTCAGCACAAGCATAGACACCTTTTCATCCCTAAGGAGCTTCATCTTCAACTCCTTCAACGGCAAATCCAACCCGACTGTAACCGATGGCGGTTCAGGCACCGCAGACGAACATTTAAGCATTTCATCAGGCTGAGTATTGTTCATCTTCAAACACTCTTCTATTCGAGAAGCACCGTCTTAATATTCCTCAAAGAAACCAACGTAATCTCTTCTTGGGTGATGAAAGAACAACAGAAATTCCAATGGATTTACGGAGAGAACGTAAAATAATCTAGTTTGTTGTGACACTGAGAATGTTAGGCGCGTTGTTTGTTTTCGACTCCGAGTTTCAGCACATCTATATAGGCGTCAGGAAGCGATACGAGACACCGAATTACCAGCCACATGCTTCGATATTACCGTGCATTCAACTTATTTAAAATATCTACACACCACACGGTCAAAATAGTTTGACTTTTAAAAAAACAGTGTTCTTGAATAGTCTTTCAGATTGACGCACTCAATGAAGATAGTTGTGAAATTAAAATTCAATTTCTTAAATACTAGCCTTCATACGCGTGTGTATAAGGTATTTTTTGAACCACGACGTGCTAATATGAACTTACATGTTACAAAAAGTGTACAAAAAGAATTAATCATAAGATCTTTTTTATAACCGGCACTACACGCTTTTTAAGATATTTTGAAAGTTTTACCTAGCCTTCTCACTTTATATACGCCTATTTGAGATTGGGATAGGTTGTAACAAATCTAAACTACATATTAATATAACTTTAATTGTCAATCAAACGTTCATAAATTTTCATTCTAACCATTTTATTAAAATTAAAAAATAAAATTAAAAAAAAATCGACAATTTATTAATTACATGAACATAAATTTTATACCAATCTCACACCCATATAGGTATAACATACTTCATTTAATAACTAAAAATAGAAAATAACAATAGAAAAATGTCCACTTTAAAAATAAAACTGCCACATTATTTTTTTTATTGTCTCATAATTGATTTTTTTTTTTAGAATTTTTACAATAATCAACACTTTATAATACAACAAAATGAAGAGAAATTGTTCACAAAATGCGAGTATGTATGTACTAAAATAGACTTCAGTCCAGTTCATTATTTATTGTGTCAAAATATAAAATGAACAAGATTTGATTGATTATGAATTCAAATAACATGCGTTATCTAATTTATCTTTAAACATATGTAACAAATTTTATCATACGAATCCGTGCTAATCTGATTTTATTTCTAAGACCCATTTCAGCCGTGAACACAAAGTCCATATAGAGGTGAGTTAAAATATCATGATGTTGGATGATAATTTATTTTAATTTTTTTTATAATAAGCTTATCTTCTCCATTTTTTTTTCTTCAATGTTTATCTTCTACGTCTTCACTTACGTAAAAGTAATGACCATCAAATAGTTTAATAGAAAATTTCTAATATTTTTACCTAAAATCTAAGTCATATTGAAATTAATTAAACACATAACAGGCCATAGATTGATTAAACAAATACCAGGCCATGGATTAATTAAATAAATACCAGCCCTTATTGAAAAATTTCTAATACTTTTACCTGGGTTCCTTCCGCCGCCGCCGCGACCTCCCAGCCCACGGCACAATCCAAACCATCCAATCTCTCTCTCTCTCTCTCTCTCATCCCGTTTCCCCATAGCCATTCCAATATATTTCAATTTCTCTTGGGATCTACAGCTCCATATTTATCGCTAGCTAGGAGCTCCAATGTCCGATCTCCATAACCCAGACGGATCAGACCACAACGACGCCATTGAAGTCCGAAACTTGATGGATTCGTCGCATGCAGTCTCACTCACCTTCTCTCTCCCACACAAAGCTTAAGTTTCATTTTCCTTGTTCTTTCTTTCTATAAAACATCAATCTCTCTCTCTCTATGTTCCCATGTGAGCACTGAAAGATCAAGATTTAAAGAAAACTCAGCAGAAAACGAGCAGAGCATACTCTAATTCATTAGAGGAATTATGGCTTACAGTTGATTTCTCCAGGTAATTGAAGGTCGCCAACCTTCGATTTGAAGGACGACAAAGAAAGGGGGAAAGGACAAGCGAGGATATTGGCTGTAATTTTAAACCCAGAGTATTATTAGCATTTACCAAACTTACAACAAATTTTTTAATAAGTTGCATTTTAAATAATTTCAGCAATTCCAAATTGGAACTCTATTATGGCGTGAATGAAGCACGGAATGATTATACAAATAAAAAGACATTTCAAAAATAAAATTTTTCTCTGATTATATAATGGCGTGATGTACTATCTTTTTTCTAAGTACACTAAAAATTTCTCCTCTAATATAAAATGCAAAACGTCTAGAAATGCAAAATTTCTCCTCTAATCGAAAAGCTCTCAAATAATTAATGTAAATTATTTATTTTTGCCAGAACATGGTCAAAAGAGAGTAAAAATAAATGAGGTCTCAAATGTACATGTTTCTTAGAATTCATACTTACATTTCCTGAAAATACTCTTTCTTGAAATTGTACTAAAAAAAAAAACCTTAGTAAAATTCAAATGCATGGATTCTTGGAATGCTAATGAGCTTATTTGGAAGTGCTTTTAAAATGACTAAAAGCTCTTTTGGTGAAAATACTTTTGAAACCAATCTTTAGTAAAAATGCAAATAAATTCTGGAAAAACACTTGAAGTGCTTTGGACCCAAAAACATTTTCTTTAAAAGCATTTTCAGTCATTTTAAAAGCACATCCAAATGAGCCTAATATATAAGAAACTACTGGTAGCGGTTTTTTCCTTTCCCCTACCAAAATCTTATATTTATAAAATTTACAGCTCCCGTTTCTTCACTTCTGGCCAGTGTCAACCCCTCCCCATTCTTATAGTTCTACTATTCTCTCTTTTCATGGATTGTTGTATATTTATTTTCGTTTTAGTATTTCCATCAATAAAAGGCTTCTTGGTGAGGTTATTTATCTGTCTCTCCTAGTGAGAATTTTAGTTTTTTGTTGGTGTGTTATTGGCTCCTCTTGGATTTACTTCGCTGTTTTTGGTAGCTTTGATGACGGTGTTGAGAACAAAATCTATATGGGTAGACTCTAGTTTATTTGTTGTCAATTCCTCTTCGAGTAGGCATTGCTCATCAAATTGTGATATGTGTTACATTGCAAATTTGGTATGTCAAATTTGCTAAATGTTTGACGATTTCATCATGTATTAAGTTTTTTTGACTTTGGATTGCCATCATTTTCTTTCGATTTTGAGTGGAGATGACTTTAAAAATTGGATACGTTTCTTTGCATATTAAAAATTCCATACAGGCTTACATACCCACCTTTTTATTCAAACTTTTCTAATAAATAATGATACCATTTGGTTCCCACCACCCACCCCCCGAAAAAAAAAAGGGTACCGTCCTCGGAAATGTTCTGCAATCTCGGTGGCAAAACCCACCACCCCCCAACACAAATGGTAGCGAAACAGCTAACGACCACCTGCAATCTCAGCGGGCCCCCCTAAATGGTTGCGAAATAGCTAACCACCACTCCCCTACCGTCCTTGGAAACATCCTGCCAGATGTTAAGTAAATGAAAGCGTAATGAACAGGCAACCCAAACAGTATCCTTCTTGGAAACGTCCTGCAACCTGAACGAGCCAACGCGAAAGCGTATTGAGCGGTGCTCTGACAACGACAAAAATAATAATAACGAAACCGTATTGAAGGTAGTGGCCGGTGGGTGACCTCAACCTTTGGCCTTTTTAGGAAAGGAAGCATCTCGGATCCATTGAAATCCAGTAATTTGGATTCTTAAAATTTAATCTAACGATTAAAAATAAGAGCTTTTTTTAACAATTGTAATACTTTTACTGTTTGATTAAATTCCGAAGTCCGAATTAGTAGATTTGTGGAAAAGATTTAGAGAGGATATCTTTCCACCTTTTTATTTATCTTTTGATGATATTCAATTTCCCAACTTCGAAGAAACAGTAAAAAATAAAGAGTAATGTTATAGAGATTAAATTTGCAGATTAAATTTTGTAAACTAAATGATATAGAAGTTGATGGTTGGATTATTACTTAATCGTTGATAAACATGTTCATTTTCTATTGGTGACACCTTATTTGATTTGCTAATTTGGGATACAAATTTAATCTTCACAACATTACTAAAAAAGATAACCAAAAATTGAACTAACCTAACTACCTTAGCTAATTCCATAATTTCAATTAATTATTATAGACGCGGTGTTCTAATTTTGAGAAGGATTCAAATATGAGTGTTGGGTGAAACTATATTTATTCTAGTTAATATGATTACGTCTGCGTTTTTTAATTTTATCGTGAGTGACCCTATAGGCATGATGTATTATTATTATTGGTATTATTATGACTACTACTATTATTAATTAGATGCTACTTTTTTTTTTTTTTTCCGTTTCGTAAAATATGCACAAAACTTATAACATAACATGAGAAAATATTATATTTAAATACAAACAAACAAAAAAAACTTATTTATCAGTATTATTAAATTTTTTGTGCATATGCTATGAAAACACAAGAAAATTGTATTCTGACCTACTCACATGAATCTCATGATTTCCAGAAAACTTAAGAATGGATTTCATATAAGTGTATCAAAAGTTCATTAAAGAATTCACACATTCATCGTGTATCACAAGTTCACGAAAATTGACAGATCTGAAAATTTCATGTGGAGACTGTTAACCCAGTATCTCAGATTCTATGAAGATAGAGAGAGAGAGAGAGAGAGAGAGAGAGAGAGAAAGAGAAAGAGAAAGAGAAAGAGGATTGTAGAGAGAATTCAGAGGGAAAATATGATTGTATTAATATCTTTTCCTAATCAGGAAGCTATTACAAGATGGAGTATTTATATCCATAGCAAACCGACTCTTCTAACAAATATAACAGACAAGCTAATCTGTTTACATGTGGCATCATCTCAGCCTTACATTCTTATACTTCTAACATCCCCCCGCAATCTCATGCTTGGAACTGCCAAGCATTAGATTGTTACAATGAATCTTAAACAAAGGAGCACTCAATCCTTTTGTGAGAATATCCGCAAATTGTTCTTGAGAAGACACAAATTGAACAATCAATTTGTTCTTGGCAACCCTCTCCCGAACAAAGTGAACATCTATCTCAATATGCTTAGTGCGCTGATGGTGTACTGGATTGAAGGATAAGGCAATTGCTGAAAGATTATCACAAAACAACACAGGAGAAGAACGAACAGAAACCTTCAAGAAAGCCAGAAGTTGTTGTATCCAGTCTAACTCAGCAGCCGTGGAAGATAGTGCTCGATATTCAACTTCAGTAGATGATCGAGAAACAGTTTGTTGTTTCTTAGATGACCAAGAGATGGGATTGGTACCTAAGAAGACAACTAAACCGGTTGTAGACCTCCTATCATTAGGATCTCCTGCCCAGTCAGCATCACTAAAAGATTTTAGATTCAAATCACCCTTGGAATATGTGAGCCCCAGATGCATAGTCCCTTTTAAGTACCTTAAGATCCTCTTCACTGCTGTAAAATGAGAATTCATTGGTGCTTGCATAAACTGGCACACCTGATGAACAGAAAAGGCAATATCGGGCCTAGTAAATGTAAGGTACTGAAGAGCCCCTACTATACTCCTGTACATGGTTGGATTGTTATAGGGCTGACCATCATCCTTCAATAGCCGATTATAAGGGAGACATGGAGTATCACAAGCTTTAGAATCAATCATTTCTGTTTTATGCAGCAGATCCCGTATGTATTTAGTCTGTGATAAGAACAGACCATTGGTACGCCTAGTAATCTGAATACCCAAGAAAAAATGGAGAGGTCCTAAATCCTTTATATCAAACTCAGTTGTGAGAGAGTGAATGACCTGTGTAATTGCTGCAGAACTGCTCCCTGTGATGATTATATCATCAACATACAACAATAAAATCACAACAGATTCACCAGCAGGCTTGACAAAAAGAGAAGAATCAGAATGTGTATGTTGAAACCCCAGAGAAGGTAGACATGCAGTAAACCTTTCATTCCAAGCCCGAGGGGCTTGTTTCAACCCATAGAGGGACTTGTGTAACTTACAAACTAACTCAGGGTGTTTAGCATCTACAAACCCGGGAGGTTGAACCATATATACCTCTTCTTGAAGAACGCCATGCAAAAAAGCGTTTTTGACATCAAGTTGTCGAAGGGGCCAATCAAATTGAGCTGCTAATGCCAAAACTAACCTGACAGTAGTTGGCTTTACTACAGGACTGAAGGTTTCTCCATAGTCTAAACCAGGTTCTTGGCTAAACCCTTTTGCGACCAACCGAGCTTTATGCCGAGCTATAGATCCATCAGAGTGCTTTTTGACCTTGAATACCCATTTGCAGCCCATTAAGTTCTTTTGAGGTGGTAAAGGAACCAAACTCCATGTCCCTTGTTTATACAATGCATCTAGTTCTTCTGTCATAGCATTGAACCAAACTGGAACCTTAAGTGCAGATTTGTAAGTAGCAGGTTCCACCAAAGAAAGATCAACAGGTGGAGACTCATCAAATGTGGTCAAGAGTGCCTTCTTTTTAACAATTCCACTTTTACTCCTTGTTTGCATAGGATGTAAATTGAGTGGAGGTATTGGTAATACAACTTGTAGACTATCAGGACTAAAATCAATTGCCACAGGGATCTCAGGATAGGAATTTGCAGCTGCAGTAATGGACTGAGAAACAGGATTTGAGGTTACTGGTTGTGAGGGTACTAATGAAGGGGGAGTGGAAACAGAATGATGTAATGGTGTAACAACAGGACTATGAGATGATAAACTTGGTGACACAGGTATAGAAGATGTATGTGATGATGAATGAGATGGGAATGTAACTAATTCATTAAGACTATTAGTGATAGGTAATGGATGTGTAAAAGGTGCTGCTGTAGAAGACTGTGTAGATATCTTATGTAAAGAATTAACTGTTGTCAATAAGGCTGAATAAGGAAACTCTGTCTCATCAAAGATCACATGTCTAGAAATGTAGAATCTTTGACTTAACACCTCATAACAGATATACCCTTTATATTTAGAAGCATACCCAAGAAAAACACATTTGGTTGTTTTTGGTTGCAATTTGGTATTGTTGTAAGGCTTAAGAAGAGGATAACAGGTACACCCGAAAACCCTTAAGTGTGAAATGACAGGTAAATCCCCAAACAAAAGCTCAAAAGGTGACTTATTCTGCAAAGTTGCAGAGGGCATCCTATTGATGATATAGTTAGCAGTTTGACAACCAAATGACCAAAAATGGG